AAAAAATCACACATGCACAACATAGGAATTTGGCGAAAACCAAGGAAAAGCAAAACTCATCACCATAAAATCAACAAAATCATAACAAAGGAACAAAATTGCCACAAAGCCGAGAAAAAAAGGCGGGAAAAGGCAAAAAACAAAAAGGCGTACTTGCAACACTCCTCCTTCGGGTACAGGTTCCAGTACTGGTGTATCCGGCTTGGAATCATCTCCAGCAGTAAAAATATTATTCTCTAATGAGTTCGGCACATTAAGATTTGCCATTGCCGGTGGTGAAATCATCGTCTGCTCACGTTGATTTGACAAGCTTTCCGATGTGGAGCTATGAGGAGATCGAATGGTTGTAGATACAGACTCTTCTCCTGAAAAATCAAAAAGCAAAATTTTATTACAGTTCCAGAGCACTCAGTCGTGAACACAATATATGCAAGTTGAAATCACAAGACGGTTTTGAATCCAAGAAATTTAGTAATTATTTTTTGCACAAGGCGGATTATGAGCTTCTAGAGGATGTGCTAAAAATGAATGGAACGGTGATGGAAGTTACACATTATACGCCAGTTTAAATCATGAAAAATTAGATTCTTTTTTGCACAAAACGGACGTTAATCTAGTAAATTTAGTCAGATTATTTTTTGCCCAAAGCAGATGTTTATGATTCTTTAGCGTGTGCTGAAAATGAGTGGCACGGTGATGGAAGTGGAACTCAGAAAAGGGAGGAATGAATGAAACTTTGGAGATATCAAACAATACAATCGATTGCTTAGCAGACTGTGAAGAGTCTAACGGCCACGTTTCTTGAACGAGAACATTTCTAGGCTTCTGCATGCCATTTACATGTGGTTTCAATACAGATGTGTCATTTTTCGTTTAGGCTTATTTTGATCGACAGCAAACTAGAACAAGTCAATGATGATGAGTTAGCAAATAAACTATGAATAAGATAAAAATGAAAAAAACCCTGATGTAGTAAGAACTTGGAATTGAGGATGTTGTTACAGAACTTAAATGTTTTTCATATGGAATAATATAAGATGTGTAGTTTCAGTATAAAGGTGTCATTTTTCTTCAAAGTTTTTTTATGAACAGATTAGATCAAGTCGAATTTGATAAGTATGATTTTGGAGAATTAGGAACAAGATGAGAACAAAATATGCGTTCAATACAGCAAGCGCTTGGAATTGAGCGGACTGTCATTGTTCAACTTTGTGGACTTTTCATGCGAAATAATGATAAATACTGACTGATTTGAGAGCATTGCTCTAAAATGATACAGCAACCATTGAAAAAAGATTAAAATTCAAAGAATGATCTAAGTGTTTTATTAGACTAATCTCAAAAGATGAAAAAAAATGATAAAGTTGGAGTTGAGATAAATTGTCTTCAGCGCAGATTACATTTAATGAGAAAACAGCAAATTATTCAGTGCAGCAGCATAACCATAACCACTCGATGAATACAATGAGAGGTGGTTGCACTTTCGAAGAGATCTCGTTCATTATTGGGGCTTTAAAATCGATTCTTGTAACATTTGCTAGCGTGGCACTCGGCAAACGTGGTACCACGCGAGGCAGAGGAAATCAAACAATCGATGAACAAACATGGATGATAGATACTAATAAATTTGCTGACTAATTCAAGAATCGGGCAAAATGCATGATGAACCAATAAAATGATTTTGCTGTCTTTTAAAAGAAATATAAGGAAATGACTAAATGTGGAATGATTAAAATTCATCAAGAAACTACAAATAGAAAGAAAACAAATCGGGAAGCAAAGATTGAAAGGTGCAAAACTGCAGAGAACAGGGCTTGAATAATAGTTTATCAGAGGGAAACACGTCAAAAAATAACGTAAAAAAAGACAAACAACAAGCAACTCGAAAAAGATAAAACCTTTCAAAAGTGATTGTCTCACCAGACAAATTTTCTGAAAGACGCAAAACTTTCTCTCGATGGTTGAACTATCACCTTGAAGAGGTGCTTGAGCATGAGAGACAATAAAGGAAAGACGATAAATGTCAACTGCCCTATCGTTATTATGACTCACAGTGAAAAGAAAAGAAAATAAAAAGCGAAAATTAAGAAAATGACTACCTCTGACATCGTCACGTTCCATTTTAATATCGTCCATATGTTCATCAGTCAGTGTTGAAGGATGGGCGAGTAGATTGTCGGCACTACAAAAGCAATGCATAGAAAAGCGAGGGGCACAAAATTCGTAAAAGATAGTGGCTAAGCATGAAAACTGAGCATCTTCAACGACAAAAAAATTTGTATCTATGGACACGAACGACCTTGCATGATAGCGGGAAATGTGAAATCAATTAAAGGAGAATTTCGTAGCGTCTCTCACCCGCATTCCAACGGCCCAGATGACGGTGGTGAGTCATGTTCGCTTTGTTGAGAATTGTCCAATGCTATGGAATCCATTTGTTCATACTCATCCGCTTCTTTTTCTATAGAATCACTGTAAAGGGAAAAGTTTTTCATACATCACGATAGTCACTCCAAAATTCTTTCAAAAATTGAAGAAACAAAAAGTTGACAGACAAAACTTGACAAATCTTGAAAATTGAGAAAACGGCTAGCTATAAAGCATCCACTACTAGTCAGAATAGTCACAACAAACGAGGACATTCCGGGAATTTCTTGGAGATGAATATCTCAACTTAATTTTTTTTCTTTTAATATGAGCACAAAAATTCAGATGAATCGTTCTGAACAAGGGTTGTGTGAAGCTTTGATTTAAGATAACCTTATCCAACAAAAAAATGTCTATTCAAAGCCTGCCTTTTGCCACATCAATGAAAATATGAAATAAAAACAACCAACTATGCGTTTGTAGCAATAGCAAATTCGATTTCACGTACACCTGGTGCAATGTTATAAATAAAATGTGAGTACACGGATGCTGGCCTAATAGCGCACCTGCCGCTTCTATACTCTAGCCATAGCGCTTCAGCTATTCCTTTCAATAGCAATGACTTTATGGTTACGCTCTGACGCGTGCAATGGAGTTTACTCCTTAAATGGTTGCACACCAAACATCACCCCAAAT